AATTAGTGTGTCTTGTAGAGCTTCGACCATACACGAATATTGATGGATAATTTTTTCGATCCTCAGATAACTCAAATCTATCAGTCATAGCCTCGTATCAGAGTGAAACAAGTGTTCAGCACCTTTCGACTTTACACTGTTCTTTACCTGATGTCAGCTTATGTAACGAACTTTTTTACTCACGAATTAATGACGCTTAACCAGTAGTTAATGACTGTGCAATAGATAAAATCTTCCACAAATCCACTGTTCCAAAATTCTTCAGATTTATGTTAACTTGGCTAAGGAGAAACGAATTTATACTCAGTGCTTTACATCATGCCTTGTTCAGTTTTAGTCTGCCAGTTTGTTCTATATTTAGATGCTTATTTACAGTACATTTACATCTAACTATTAATATGCTTCCATTGCGTTTAGTTCTATGTTAGTCGGATTTACAAGTACGCATTTACAGTATACAAAAACAAATAACTTCTTTTAACCCGAAATGAATTAAAATCAGTGTTTCAGTTCTTGCCATACTAATTGGTCTATATGGTTTGTGCATTTGACTAACACATGTTCATTATATTTCTTGTTGTAAACCACATTTTAACACAATAACAAAATTTAAAACAATTAGTCCCTTTGATAAATTTCGATAATGATATTAGAAGACGAAGATTATCAGAACTATGTGATATATTAGCGCAATACGTTTCGAACAATCTGGTCACACATATACTTGTTAAGAGCATTTATATATAAAAATAAATTGTTTGAAATTTTTACACCTTTGCTCTTTTTTACTCTTTCGTCAAAACTCTAATATTTGTGAGAATATGAAATTTCATGATTATCATACAGAACATGGATTAATCAATCGGTATTAGTATACGTGGATTCTGTCATGATTGTTTTGATATTGGCTTTCAGATTTTGGGGTTCGAGTTTTACTATGAACATATTCGCTAGGATTCAGATACATCTAAGTTATGAGTTTCAAACTGGGCGAAACGTGTATGCTAAACACAAATACCAGCTATTATCCAAACGCACTTAAAAATAACATTCTTTACTTATCGCCTATGATTTCTCCGTTTTTAAAAATTCTTAAAATCATAACTTTGAAGCAACTCATGGAATCGTTTATTTAATAATTGTTATAAAATAATAATCATTTGCTAAATCACTTATCGACTAATATGAAGCAACCCACTCTTTTGTCGTCATTCATATTTTTTATCGTATCAACAAATCGTGATCGGTTTATTTTATGAAATGGTAACCGAAAACTAAATGCCAATACAGTAATGTCACATATGAAAAGTACCTTGTTCATTTTTACTGATCTTTCTGGATTGTGCTAATTTTTTATCAGAACAATAATAATATACTGGTGTGTTGTTTATAATGCCCAAAAGACAGGTAATATTCTCATCCAGAAGTAAACTTTTTTCTAATAGCTTAAAACATTATTACAAATATAATTTGTCAGTTTATATAAATAACACATAGAACTATTACGTAATAAATATCAAAATTGCAGACAATTATTACTTATGGATTAACGGCGTATAATGTGCTATTGCAAATTATAATTCCCAATCGATATTTTACATTTCAGTTGTTTAGACATATACTAACATACTTAACAACTGAATAACGATTAAGAGTATTTCATTGACATATTACACAAAAATTATATAGAAAGTATTTGAAGAATTATTTACAGCTTTGTTAACATCATAAAAACTAATTGGTCGATAATTGGATAAATAATTTTTCTGACGAAACCAATATCAGTTAGTATTAAAGACGTAATCATGAACTTCGAAATATTTGCGTTACGTACACACATGCATCTCAGAGTTGGAGTTCAATCCGGGCCTCGAACCCAATGCCGTTTACTTCAAACGCCAACACGTTATCCACTTTGCTACTGAGCTCTGATAGCTTCAAGTAGCACGAAACTCTCGTCCTAGATTCCACTGCTAGCTGTCATCCATCTTTGCTTATAATGCTTATGACTGATGGGAATATCGAGGCAATCCGTACAGGATGCACATATGCCAGTATGAGACTGATCAATTGCAGTCCTAAACATCAATGAGAAGTTTCAAACAAACAATACAAAATGAATTTGAGTAAATTATTTAGCTGATTACTGTTACGGATTTACAAACTTTAACCAGCCCCAATTGCAACGTTTTCTGTTTGCTTATACCTTTTCAGTTGATATTAGCCTGTCACAAAAACTAACTTCCATTGAAATAGATCTTCATACTTTACCTATTTGTTATATTATATTAATTATTATTCTGTACTAAATACTGTTACTTTCTGCATTTCTGAATATGAATTTTTACTGAATTCATTTTAATAAATTTTGTTGACGTTTGGATTTTTCAAAAAATTACAGACTTTCATAACAGCTTCAACTGTATCATCAATATATGATATCTTTCTAATCACGGAACAGATGTTATACTACTAGTGATTTCACTGCCTATTTGTATGTATATTGGATATAATAGATATCTGTGAACTTATCTTAAGTTGAACAGCTGTCGTAATCTTATTCTATAGATAAGTGAACGTTATTTTTACATTAAAACCATCAAATTTAATTTTCAATGGTTTCAGTGCCTTGAGACTATCTTAAAGATGTTTCGCTGAATGAAATATATTTGCTAAAGTGATTATTTTTTCTCTAAATTTTTATTAAATTTAATAAATGGTTTAAGAAACTCTACTTATCCATTATAAATAACCAAGTAAACAGACAATCATTTGTAATGCAAGATGGATGTTCAATAGAAGAGAAGTCCAGGACTTGTTTGTGACTAATCAGTTGGTTGTATCTGAATCCCAAAGTGATGTCCGATCCGGGACTCGAAACTGTTACTGCTCTCTCCAAATGACATGGCGTTATTCTCTTGGCCAATAAGTCGGGATAGAGGGTGAACATCAACTCTGAAAGAAGCGCCCGTCTCTGATTCTATTTCTAGCCACCATCCATCTCTGCTTAAAATGTTTGTGACTTACTAGCAATAATGAGGCAATCCACACCAGATGTACTCATACCAATAAGAAACTGATTAATTGCAGGCTTAAACGTCAGTGGTAAGATTCAAACAACCAATACAGACGATCATTTGTTTCTCGTAGCAAAATGATCATTTAATTTAACTAAATTTTACCGATTACCAGACAATATCTAAGGCAACTGTGAATAGATTACTAGTTTCAAAGTATAATTTTCAAGTGATATTCATTTTTATAGACACTATTGTTTTGTTATATCAAACACTTATTCATTTATCAGAATGGGTTTTGCAGAGATTTTTAGAAGTTTCACTTGTTGAAATCATGAGTCAATTGAAGCTAGACCACCATGGAAAACCTGGAAGCACCGGACGGCCGTTTCGTCCCGGTATAGGACCCCTCAGCAGTGAGCATTCACGATCCCGCACCCCGCGGGATTCGAACCCAACTTCGTGGATTGGTTGCAGTCAGATATTAACACCGTTGGTTGTCGGCTCAGTGGTCAAGTTGGTTAAGCGCCTGGCGCGAGACTGACAGGTCCTGGGTTCGAATCCCGCGGGGTGCGGGATCGTGGATGCGCGCTGCTGAGGAGTCCCATAATAGGACGAAACGGCCGTTCAGTGCTTCCAGGTTTTCCATGGTGGTCTGTTTTCAATTGACTCATGATTTCAACAAGTGAAACTTATTTGTTTGAAAAAAATAAAATTTTATTTCCAAGTAAACTGTGTTTTAGATTTCTAAGTAACTTCTTGATCATCATCTTGAAAAGGTTAATTACTAATTAGGATTTAATTAGGAACAAGTATATCATCAAAAGAAGTTCATTTCAATTTTATTCATGTTGTATAACACTTGTTAATAAAATTGAATTAATCGTTGGTTAAAATTGTTTTTACATTAGAATTATGTAATAAATTTCAATTTGTTTTTTTGAAAAATAATCACTGACACTGCGATGTATTAGGAAGACAATCGGGGTTTCTTTCTTCATTTCACAAAACAATTTAACAATTTGATTAAACTAAATTAAATAATTATGAGTCAAAATGTAGAGAGAATTGTTTAAGAGTACATAAATGATTGTGTTCTTTGAACAGTTTTATTAGGATAAATACAATGGAAACAAGCTTTAAATCTGTCAATAACTAAGAGCTATTTTAATCCTATCTTTAATGGAAAGCAACTGTTGTAAATTTATATGAACTATAAGGAAGATATTACTGGCCAATAAATTATTTTTCCAAAATAATGTAACATGACATTCAATTAATTCACTATAAGTAATTACATTTTAAACGTTTTAAGCTAGATTTTATAATAAATAATGTATCTTGTTCAATATTATGAATGCAAATATAATGGTATGGGAATCTAACATATTTATCATATCTGTTAGTTTATATTCGCTCTAATCTACTTTACAGACAAATCTGAAGATTTATTATTCATTCATTTATCATGATTCTAAAAGCTATCTTAATGCTTCCCTACTAAGAAAAGTATATAGGTGTTTTATTATTAACATTTTACTTGATCATTATAAGCAGAGATAGATGTTGACTAGCAAGGGAATTCAGGACACAGGTTTCATCCTATATGTGACTCGTCAACTCGATCTAACCAGTGTTTAATTTTTTCAAAATTATCAAGTCTAACCTTGTGAATGATACCGATAATGATACTAAACATACAACGGTATAATTCAGATTTCTACAATATGTTATAATTTTAAATAAGTGTTTTTTGAAAAGATATGTTAGTTAAATATATGAACGTAATGTTTATTCAAAAGGTGGAATATTTAATGTTACATATAATTATCGTATCCACTTTATCATTTTATTTCAATAATCCTTGGTCTCAATTAAACTAAACATTTTACAGCATGATATTTTCTTAAATTCATTAATGAATATTTTTTTCTAAACTATTTCCTTTTCCACTGTGATTTTCTTATTTTTCTATTTCAACAGGCATCTCATCAATTGTACACCATTTCGATATTTCCATACCTGATGCATATAAATCTCTATTATTAAAATTATACAAAGCTTATGAATATACACGACGTTTAGATGTCATTTTTATACGTTTTCTCATTATGTTAAAAAATATATGTTTTAATGAATATAACAAATGTATGAAAAATTGGAATGTTACATTACAACAAACTGATGATAATCATTCTATCCAGCAACAAACAAACATAATTGATAATAATATAAATCAAATTACATATTACTATCAACAATCTATATATATTGAATTATTATTTATTCATTATGAAAATCTTATAAATTGTTTTAAAAATTTAACTGATATTGTTTTTAATAATATCATCTATTGTATTTTATATTGGTTCGGTTATACAAATAATTATGTAAATGATGAAATACTGAAAGAATTCAAACAATTATTTAATCCAATGAATTCATATTTTCTGTCAAATTTAACATCGACTCCATCATCAAGATTATCAGTAGGAACAACATCCACAATATCAAATAGTAATTTTGATGATCTAATTGAAATTAAAACAAATTTATTGAATGTAGACAGAAATGTTCTAATACGGTTAGCACGTGTAATAGGAACATTAAGTCAAGTGAATAATTTATTGATATCATTAGATAAGAATATTAAGGTAAGTTTGATTTTGTGAAGTATACATTTTTATTGGTTGTTTAAACATTTTATGAGTAGAGATTGAAAACTATGGGCTATAATATGACACTTAGTATATTTTATACAGGAAGACACAATCACTGGAATCTGTACATAATATGGACAAATCTTACGTAGAGTATTTGCCGATAGTATTGTTTAGAATAATGATAAAAAGCTTCATAATTAAATCATTGACCACAGTGAACATAACACATTTAAAAGCATTCACTTATGCTACAAATTTTTCATTTCTCTTATTTTTCGCTTATAAAGAATGACTAACTACTGAAGTCTATAAGGAAACGATGTCATTTTCTCAGAAATGTTTTTTAAATTACTAAAAAATGTAAAGAGTTGTTCTTCGCTTTCAGTTATTTTCATTCAAACTCAAAGCATATTTTCAATATTTTATTTATGAACTAGGTTCATATCATTCTTTGTTGCCCTCCGACTAAAACTTCCCACCGGATTAAATTACGCTAAAAAAGGATATAGAAACTGGTTATTATTCTTGATAGAAGGAAAATATTTATTCTAGTATATAAGTGAAAACAAAGTTTTCACAGTACCATTTAAGTGTAAAATGTACACAACATTGGTTGGACTTCACGGTTCTCAGTTCCTATTTCAACATGTGAAAAAACATGGATCTTATTCTATAGGATTACCGATATTCATATCCCACAACTCATAGATGGTTATTTTAAATTTGAAACATAAAATAGGCTAAATTACTGTCTGATGATAACATTGGTCATCTTATTAACTAAACCGATGTTACTATGAGTGGCGATTCGGTTCATTTTATTACTATTTATTTGACTGCAATATCATTTATGATGTGAAGAATATATGAAGGTTTTTAGTTGGAACTCTGTACAGGTCTACTAAGTTTAAAGTATCATTTTATTTGAAGTTATCATGATTAGTTTTTCTTGATGTAACTTAAACTAATTACTCCATAAATTGAAAAAGGATAATTTTTTTGAAAGACACCTGTAGGAGTAAATAAATCATCACTCAAACTTACGACCAAGTATCACGATAAACTGGTTGTTATTCTTAAAAGCGAAATTTCTGAAGATTTAAAGTAATCATTTATCATGTTTCATAGTTTACCAGACTATCGAGATGATCAGTTTGCTTGAGTACTACCTTTATTAGAAATAAAAGATCTCTGAATAGAAGTAACGTCACGTTTGTAAATTTATGTTGGAATACATTTTTTGTGACCAACATTAATTCTTAAAGTCAGCGTCCCTAATTCTATGTTATGTAATATAATGCGGTTTATTTATATTTTATTGTAATTGGAGATAAGTTTATCATTTGTGTGGCTTTTTTATATACAAAAATCATTATATTGTGTCAGAAAATTTCTTATGTCACTAAACTAGTTTAAAACAGATTCGATTGCTGAAATCCAGGACACGCGCTTTGTTCTAATTAGGGCTGCTCAAATGGACGTATTTACATCCAAAAGTTGATATATACACTGAAATTTGAATCGGATACCTATCTCCTCAAAAAGCGATACTTGTGCATAGTAAACTTACGAACTCTTATAAATCATATTCATGTCGATTGCACAAGCCAGTGACTATCTGAACGCAGTAGCCCGATGGATAGGGCGTCAATGTTTAAATAGCAAGAAACTCCGCTAGAATCTCAGTGTGAATAACAATAGAATGAAAACAGAATCCCGGACACAGCTCCAAAAAATAAACGTGAATAGACGGCAGCTTTGAAGTAAATCTTTTAAATACTTAGAAAGACTAATGTGTTGCAGTCCTTGATATCATGAGGAGAATAAAATCTCTCATGCATGAAAACATTGATGTACTTTTTGTCGTAATCCTAACACGAAAATAAATGAAGAAAGTAACTTTATGATGCATTTTCTGAAGTTACGTTCAAATATTAGTTGGTTTTTGTCACGAACTGACACCAGTTGCAGGAACTTTAAAGAAACAAACAGATGTTATGTTTTTTTTTTAACTTATTTGTACAAATAATCTTCAGATGATAGTGTTAAAATTCCCAAATTAACAACACTGTGAATATCAGTTTATTTAATTTACGGTCTCACTATTTTCATTGTAAAGTCATGCATTCACCATTTTTCCTGAAGAGTTTTGAACTATAATATAACATTTATCAACTTTTCCTTCTTTCAGTATTCTTTCATTTATTATCGATGCGTAATGGTAATAAACTATTTTTCGAAACATTTTATTGATATATCAGGATATCTGTCTTGCTACAAACAAACTATTATTCTGATAGAACCATAAAAGTGTCGATATATATATATATAGACCACCATATAAAACCTGGAAGAACTGGACGGCCGTTTCGTCCTATTCTGGGACTCTTCAGCGTTGTGCATCCACGACCCCGCCTCGCGGGATTCGAACCCAGGACCTATCAGCCTCTTCATTCATTATTATTCTAATAATTTGAACTAAAACACCTATTGATTTAATATTCTTGATATATATGTCTCAAAATATATTAAATAAACGTTGAATACTCAATGATAATGAATTTCTTCATTAAAATCGTTAAATAAATTATTTGTTTGGAAAAAAACTTAGAATTTTTCTAAACATTGCAAATTTCCTAATTTTTTTTCTTACAGGAATGGAAAGAAACTTTAAGAAAAACATTTCCACAGATAATGAATAAACTTATCGACAAATACATTCTTAATTATCATAATGAAATACTATGTAATTTCCAAATTGAAAATAATGAATTAATTAATCTGTTGACCATATTTCTTAAACCAATTAATAAAACAATTGGAACTTGTTTTAATTCACCTACAGAGAGAATAATTTCAATTGAAAATTCATCAATAATATGTGAATATCATCATAATGTGTTTTATTATATAATTCAACCAACAGTTATTCAATTTTTTCATAGATTATCAGTATTATTAAAAGAGACATCTATAAAGTAAGTAAAATATATTATTTAAAATTGTATAATGTTTTAAACGGAAGAAATAAAGTTCAGTATAGGGTTATGAAGATTGTTGAGTTTTATTTCAAATAATAAACCGATCAATGTTAGACCACCATTGAAAACTTGAAAGCACTTGACAGCCGTTTTATCCTAGTGTGGGACTTCTCAACAGTGCGCATCCATACTAGGACGAAATGGTCATTCAGTGCTTCCAGGTTTTTAATGGTGGTCTAACATTGATCGCTTGATGAACACAATCATAACTCAACGATCTGATCATTATTATATGCTCACTGGTGACTAGCTTCGAGAGACTGTTCTCAGAGTCCTAGTCAGATTCTGTGACAATTGAAGTTCAACCGTGTCAGGTGTGAAACAGTTACCGAAGTTAATGAAGGATGGTCGCGCAATATCGTGGATTGGTTCAAGTCAAACATTAACCCTATTGGATCGCGGTTCAGTGGTCTCAAGTTTAAGCGTTCGCGTGCGAGATCGAATGTCCCGTGTTCGAGTCCCTTTGGTGCGGTATCGTGGATGCGTTCCTCCGAAAAGTTCTATATTAGAACGAAATGGCCGTCCAGTGGTTTCAGGTTACCAATGATGGTCTAATACTGATTATTTCATGATTTAAAGAGAAACAAACATTTAATTAACTATGCCTATTCAATTTATTAAATAAATTAATTACTTTTATTAATTAATTGATTCCTAGTGTAGAATAATCATTAATATAAATAAATTTGTCAACTATGAAATTCTAATCGAATTAATAATTATTTACTAATGAGTAAACGTTCAGCAATTTTATAAATAATATGTGTAATATATATGTGGCCAAGTTGCTTAAGCATTCAACAGTACTAGTTATTTAGAAGTGTTTCGTATTAATTGCTTAAAATAATGTAGTTCTTAATTCATAATGACACTGTGTCGTTCACCACTTATGTATATAGATAAAAGTAGCGTTTTGCAGGAATAGGAATTGAAATGCTTACCGTTAGAATATTGAAATAAAGAGAACGGCAAGCAAAACACCTAGCAATCAGAATAATAGAAGAATTAGAAAAATGTTCGAGTATGTAAAGGATAACCGAAGGAAGATGTTCAACTTATATATTTAATATATGATTTCCATATTTTACAAAAGCGCTGTGCGATTTTGCATAAAACAGTGAATTGATTTACAGTACCTGAGTTTTCATTCACCACAGTATTTATTTTAGAAAAAGATTACTGTGAAGTTTGTGAATATACTTAATAATTAGTTTTGAAGGTTTGTAAAGAGTTCTTCATTAAAAGTTTATATCACATATCAAATTTAGATAAGTAAATAGGACACATCAAGGAAGACAGAGTAATTGTTTTTTTCCAAAGCGGGACATAGAATTATGCACCGACTACTCGCTTTGAAATGAACCCGAAATTTATAAAGTCAAGTGGCAAGCTCACCCCTCTTGAATTATAAATGAATTGGAATTCAGTTGTCAACAAACTCAACTATGAATACATAACAACGGGTAACTTTTTGGAAAAGCTTATTTAAATGAAAAAACTCGCTTCAGATTTAATGACAAAAAGTTCGATGTATCGTAACCGATGCATGTATGTGCCTTGTCCTACATTGTAACTGACTGACTGAATAAATATTGATTCGGTAGTTGCTTTATCTAATGTCAAACTTTTTATTAATATTAGAAAACAAACAGGGTCTATTCTTGTTTAATTCTACCTTTTAGATTGCAGTTATACTTTGTTGACTAGATCAATCTTGTTGAAAATGTCATGTCACAATAAAATATGTAATTATCAGTTTAGGGGTTGTGGAGATTGTTAAGTTTTTGATTGAGATCATGAATCGATTGATGTTAGACCACTGATAATTATCATGTGTTCACCAGTGACTAGCTTCGTGAGAAAATTCTTGAAGTTCTGGTGAGAAGCTGTGACCAGTGGAGCTAATTCGTGTCGGGTAGAAACAGGTGTCTACCTCAGTACAATGGAAGATGGTCGCGCAACTTCGTGGATTGGTTGAGGTTAGACATTAACACCATTGGATGCCTGCTCAGTGGTCCAGTAGGTTAAGCGTCCGGGCACGGGAATGAAGGCCCCGGGTTCGAATCCCACAAGCGGGGTCGTGGATGCGCACTGCCGAGGAGTCCCACAATAGGACGAAACGGCCGTTCAGTGCTTTCAAGTTTTCAATGGTGGTCTAAAATTATTCGGTTCATGATCTCAATCGAAAAATATGTAATGTTGACTGATTTATATATGATATCAGTGTAGCATAGTATAAATATCATTTTATTGAACAACATTGCAATTTAAATATAATTTTTGATTGGTTCTTTTTTCAGTTAAACGCTTACTTATTGAAAGTTAAAATATTTAGTGTGTTTTCTTCCTATAAAATTCGGATTATTCGTTTCGAAAAATAAGATTTTTTAGTTGATGGTAGGTGTACTCTTCGCATTGGTTGTAACGAATATATCTTTTAAAGGATATTATAGATTTTTTTCTCGGCTCATTATTAATGGCATGAACTGCGATTTGACCATGATTTTTTTAATGATATACGTGACATCAACAGGAACATTCATGCAACCAATGCAAATGAATTAAAATTCACCTCATCTCATAAGTCAATGGTTATGTGGAAAAGGCATTAGGCGTCTGAAGCGAAAAACAACCAGGATTCAAGTACCGGTGTGACAATTACGACTGAGCTGTAGGTATATCCAGATGATAGGTCCTAAATGTAACAAAACACGCTTTCTTGATTTCACTACCAGCAACCACTTAAATCTGCTTATAAAATGCATGTAACAATGACATTATTGAGGCGACCTGTATGAATGAACGAATACCGATTGCATCCCTAAACATCGAGGGGAAAATTCAGACAGTCAATACAAATAAATTAGCATATAGATTAGTTTACTCTACTTTTTAATGAATATCTGCTATTTGGGTTTACTTTATAAATTTAGTTAATTATAATTTCGCCGATCATTATGGTTACACGCAACTAATGCTTGTTCCACCCATAAAACTATTTAAGTTTCATCCAATTTTAACAAGCTAGGCACTAATCAGCAAGAACCTTCATGTTATTTATTCTTGGAGATGACTGAATCTGCTGAGTCAATTTGGCTAATGTTGTGATTGACTTTTCTACATGAATAAATTCACGTGAGCACAGATCCTAATCATTCAGCTTGAGACAAGTATTATCAATGCTGCTGAATTACGGTTATATAATATTGCTAGTAGACTGAATTTAGAAATGTGTACGTCATTAAATACCAACTCAATGATCTGAATGTTACGATTTAAATGAGAGCTCCAAAGGTTGGTGGTTCAACAATAGTCATGGTAGTGCACACACTGAGACCATCTAATACTAGAATGAAATAGCTGCTCGTTACTTCCAGGTTATCAGTAAGTACCTAATTAAATTTAATCCGTGATGTGGAACTACAAATTCAACAGTATTCATGGCTCCTGTATACTAATAAACTCAACAAGGTTATTATATTTTAAACGAATTCTTACTGATTGCTATATGATGCAAAATATATTCGATTTCTGTTAAATTAACATTTATAATGGTTTATCAGCCACAAAGTAAACAATTTTTCGGTTAGCAGTTTTTCTATTGATCAAGGATTGTTTTTTATCAGCTATTATTCTAATTTGTCCAATAATAAATGGAAAATATATGTTCATTAAGATTCATCTATAATACAAATGACTATTAAGAATATAACGCATATAATACTTATTAAAATTAAGTAATGGGATGACACATAATAACTGAATAATTGTTTTCTACAGACATTTAATCAATGAGACTAATGGATTATGTGTGTAAATTTTGAGATAATTAATTAAACATCGGAGACTAGGTTAACTTTGATTTGCTATTCAAATATTTTCATAACTAAGCTGAATGAATTGGACTATAATTCACTATAGTCAGTTTTAGTCTATGCAATTAAAGCTGATGGGAAATCATTGTATTTCATCTTGGTAAATTTTTCATAAAAGTTAGTAATGAAATAATGCCTAAACTGCCTAAAAATTTATTTACTGAATGAAAGTCGCCATATACAATCAGTTGTTCAATCGTTTCTAGTTAACATGAAATAAAAATGTTATTGTTTCCGGAATAAGAAACAATCTATGAAATAAACAATCTTGTAGGTATTTTACATTTTTATGAATGTAAACCTGAAGCGTACAAGTGAGTTCAGAACGTACCAATCGTTTAAATATAAGATAATGTTGAACATGAATTTGTTATAAGTTACAATATCACACATCATACAGGTTGTAAAATTATAAACTTATTGAGCTAGACCATTTAAGTGTATAAATTCATGATATTATTTGAGTATGGTTAACTGCATTTCTGTTTGTGTTAATTTACTGTTCGGAAAAAATCAGATTGAGATGTCAGGAAGGAATCGTACATATGACTCCATCAGTGTTATTCTTTAATTGATTCATTTTTTGTATTGTAATATTAAGCGATTGGCTACAAATTATGTGTTTTTGATTAGTTAGTGACAGGTTTGTCTTATAAAAGTTTCGGTGAGACTATAATTTATGGACAGCCTTGAGAATAACCGCCTACTAAGACTAAATGAGGCTTATCACGTGGTGTTAGGAATTAGAATCAAGATTCACAGTTGATGGTTAGGGTTAGGAACTAGATTTTGGGCTTTCATCACGAACCAACATCAGCTAAAATGACAGAAAGCTATTTAAGCAAATGGATAAATGCGTTTCGTGCCAAAATCTTAGAGCTGTTATCATATGCCTAACTAATTCGTCCATGAATTATAGTGTCTCCACAGTTTCCTTAAAATTAACCATTGATCAGTTTAATATGCAACTATATTGATCCACTTTAGCAAGTTGAAATATGAAAGAAACCTATGGGTCTTTTAAGGAAAAAAACAAATAAATTAGCCAATCTTTTCCTTTTT